CATTTATATTTCCCATAAATTACAGAAAAAAAAAGAAAAAAAACATTTGCTAGATAATTTTGTAATTTATATTTCTCATAAATTACACAAACATAATTGCTGTATTTGTATTTGCCATAAATTACAGAAAAATATATTAAAATCTTGATCATTGTCATTTATACGTCTCATAAATTACAGAAAAAAAATGCTTGATTATTTTGTCATTTATATTTTTCATAAATTATGGAAAAAGCATTTGCCTAATCATTTTAGTATATATTTATATTTCAAAAATTGCAAAAAAAAATTGCAAAAAAAATAAAATAAAATCTTGATCATTGTCATTTCTACTTCTCATAAATTACAGACAAGAATTGCTTGATCATTTTTGTCATTTATATTTCTCATACATTACAAAAAACAAATTGCTTGATCATTTTAGCATTTATATTTCTCAAAAATTACAGAAAAAAATAGCTTGATTATTTTGTTGCTGTCAACCCTTATAAGAGGTTTGAATGGTTGAGCCTTGAATGCTGTCACCGCTACAGTTTGTGTAAAAACTAAGAATATGAAATGTTTCTTGTCTTCCAAATTGTCACTTCCAGGGTGTTACAACAAAATAAATGGGATTTGTACCTCTGATGCGTAAAAAAAAGGTATAAGTGACACCAGAGCGTGCCTTATCCATGGAAAGCGTCAGACCTTGTGTTTTTGATTCTGATCGTGTTGCCAGAAATCGGTAAATCCCGGCTATCAGCGGCGTCCATGAACCCGAGCGGCCCTGAATCCCACCGATAAACCTGCTTTCATCACAGATAACCTCATATCAGCGCCGCATTTGACTCCTTTATGATTGTGAATCATGTTATTTCATTAACTGGAAGGCGTATTTAAGCGTTTTTAAACGAAAGGCTGAGTGAGCATAAGCTCCGAGCGATAATTTAGTGTCGTTTACGACGCGTTTCTCAGCCCGCAGAGGAATGGGACGAGACGTTTTGAGGATGCCCACGGTTTTCTGTCCCGCTCGCATCTGTTTGCGAATATCACAGTGTGAAAGTCAGCATTCCCGAGATCAGGCTGTTGTGTGCTGTGTGTATATTCCTCTGGGATGAAAGCGGATGCATCTCCCGTTCCTAAAGACGGGGATTTAAGGCAGACTGGCTGCCATGGAAACTCCAGAATGTAGGTCTGCCATCTCTCTGCGGAGATGGTCACATTTTGGGAATTAATAAAACAGAATTTATTGTGTCTGGCATGCGATTTATCCTGATATTAAGGGATCCGGAGCTCGGCTCCACGGGGGGAGGGAGTCCCTCCAACAAACTTTTTACGAGCGTTATTTTATATCCTCCGTGCTGCGTGGCAATTAATCTGCAGGCTCTGACACCTTTAGCAGACCTTCAGGCCCTGTTTGATGAGGTTAGTTTGCAGCGTTATACGCTTTGTTTGGCCCGTGGGGCCTCTGAGTCCGTCACCGACACTGGCGAGCCGAAAAGCAGCCTTCAGTTAAAGGAATAGATCAGCCGGAATTGAAAAGTTTACACACTCTCGTGTCATTTCAAACACGCAAGGAAATGCTGTTTTCCATAAATACGCTGTAGAAACAGGTTTTCACTCAGAAATTCACTAATAATTACAAAGAAACGGCAAGTGAGACATTGAATAAACATGAACTTTTGAAGTAGCAAAAACAAAATACTATTTTATTTTAAGACACACTCTAATAATCTGTTAACTTCAAAACTTTAGAAAAATACAAGAATTATTCATCCGACACAAACAAAATCTAATGACGTTTGATGTTAAACTTGGCCAAATGCATCTCATCCCATTTGCAATTGCAACCAAGACTTAGGAAAAAACACATTTACATGGGTAGTGTCTACCTACAACGCCAAAAAATGAATAAACATACAATTCACTGCAGTTTTCAGCTGAAATTAACACTAGTGGAAGTAAAACGATAATTTGGATTCCTTAGCATGCAAATTATGATTACAGGGGCAGATTTTTGATTAATAAAGACTGATTTTCAAGCATTTCCTTGCACAATTCTATGTTATGAGCTCAAAAAACACTTTTATCATAGTGCGTGATCTGTAAACTAAGCATTTTGACGTTTGCATCACATAACCAGCTCAATATAAATGGCTTTTCTGATGTAATAAACTTGCTCGGTAGCGCACCCGGTACAGCATTGCATTTGCGATGCAACGAGTCCCATGAAACACGAGTCACGATAGAAGAGCTTAAAAGACTTGTAGAAACAAGCTTAAATGACATTGGTGCTTCAACAGATGTGTTTTTATCACATGTTTGCTTTTGTTAACTCTTATCGGTTAGGTTTAGAGTAGATAGTACGTTAGTTTCATACACAATAGAGTATTGACCTTACAGTGCCACTCACCGGACATTTCATTTCCAAACAACCAACGTAAAACATTGCCAGATTCACTTTCATCTGTTCCGGAGAAAACTGAACGTGCTTTTAGCGCCACTTACTGGACATTTCACTTTGAAACTGCAAGACGCAACATTATATAATGTTTCAGAAATGTTGCCACAGGTGCATTTTCCCAATGGTCCTGGGTTGTATGTTTGAATGCACACAAACATTAATGTCTTGGCCTTGTGCTCACACAAAGCCATCATACGGCTCCAGAAGACTTGGACCATCATATAAGCTAGCTTTATTCTGTTTTTGATTCATTTTGACGCTCAACACCCCCCTGAATGTTCCTCAGATTATCTCCTTTTCAGACAGTCATACGGGTTTGCATTATCATTTCCGTGCAAACTATGGCTTTAAGGGGACGCAGAGCGCCAACATCGCACCATGTGGAGAATCGAGAGAAGATTAGCGGCATTGCCATCTGATGATAGTGTTGATGACACAGTCGTTCGGGGAAATAAAAGCCTGTTTGTGTGCGAGGATGGATGCTCATCTTTTGCCAACTTACCCTGAAGTGGTTGCTATACTCCTCCTTCGGTTTAATATAATGTGCTTTAAAAGAAAACGGCACGCCTTTGTATTTAGATTTCTCTCTGTTTGATGGAGAGTGTGTTTGTCCTCACGCTCATAATCTGGCGAGCAGATTTTGGGTGATTAACGTGTTATTTAAACCGGCTTTTGATTTCTCTCGAGTGCGTTCTCTGCCAGTCTTAAGCTTTTCACAGCGACGCTGGAAGAATGAAAAAGTATTTCATGCAAGCTATAGTTCTATGCCCACCGCTCTTTATCGCTCTCCTTTGTCCTGTCGATGGCGAATACCTGCAGCGGTGGAAAGCAGGCCCGCGCCGCCCCACCGCTGAATGAGTCTCCTTTGGGATTTTTAATGCTAATTTTGGTTTGATAAGTGTTTGTGTAAATGCTGGGGGATTTTGCGACTGACTTCATTTCAGGTTCTCTGAAAGCATGTTTATGAATGCCCGAAATTATGCTGCAGGCCTGGCGCTGATGCAGTGAGTCAGTGCATTCATGCTTTGATTAGAGAGCTGCGCTGAATCACTGTTGAAATCTCAGGCAGCGCGAGATGCTTCGATATGTCCAAACAGCACAGCAGGAGTTTCATTCTCCGTTTGAACTTTTTTTAAAACCGCAGACTCTACGCAAGTATGTGATGCAAACGCTTCCACGCAAACTCCATGTCGTGCATCGTTGCATTTTAAAATGTGCGTTCTCAAAGTTGTTCTTTCAGTTCAACTACTGTCATGAAGAAGCATGAAAGAGAAAACGTATAAAAATAAGTATAAAAGTGGCCAATGTGAACAGAAAGCAACAGGATGCTCTTGTAAGACAGGAGCAGCAGCTGTGACAGACTTCAAGTATCACCTCCACTGAAATAGCAGCAATTCAATCCTATTTACGTCAGATAAACCTGTTTCCAAGTAAGTTTGGCCTTAGAGACCTGTTGCTATGGGAACAACTGAGATGAGTTTGGAAGAACTAAACGATCCAGATCGAGTCAAATCATCAAATGAATAATCTGTAATCAGAACCTGAGACCTTAAGAACTGTATCAGTTTGATTAGTGATTCAATCATTCAGATTCAATGATGAATTGAAAAAAAAAATCTGTTCATGAATCGGACATTACGACCATTTTCATGAACACTAAAAATACATGTCAGTCAAGATTTTCAGTGAATAATGATTTAAATTCTTCACACAAGATGCTTGTATGAACTCAGAAGATTGGAAAATAGCACACAAGTGCGATGGAGCACATATGTGACCCTGGACCACAAAACCAGTCATAAGGGTCAATTTTTTGAAATTGAGTTTTATATACCATCTCAAAGCTGAATACATAAGCTTTCCATTGATGTATGGTTTGTTAGGATTGGACAATATTTGGCCTAGATACAACTATTTGAAAATCTGGAATCTGAGGGTGCAAAAAAATCTAAATATTGAGAAAATCTCCTTTAAAGTTGTCCAAATGAAGTTCTTAGCAATGCATATTACTAATTAAACATTAAGTTTTGATATATTTATGGTAGGAAATTTACAAAATATCTTCATGGAACATGATCTTTACTTAATATCCTCATGATTTTTGGCATAAAAGAAAAATCAATAATTTTGACCCATACAATGTATTGTTGGCTATTGCTACAAATATACCCCAGCGACTTAAGACTGCTTTTGTGCTCCAGGGTCACATATGTAATATTTTTTTGTTTGTTTCAGGTCTTATTCACTTTCATTATACTTTCATAAACTCAAAGTAACTCGATCGAGTCCTGAGATGTGTTATCGCCACAGTCATGACTTTTCATGCATTGTGTAGTTTGTTATTCAGGCCTAACGGTATGTGTTTGTGTGTTTGTCTTTGTTCAGAGCTGGAGGTGGCGAGGATGAGCACAGACGGAAATCTTCCCGATCTGAAGTTTCCACAGACAGGAGGCCAAGGGAACGCCATCCACCTGTCAGCCAACACCCTCAAACAACACGGCAGAAACGGTACAGACATGACTCGGCGGCAGACACGGGGTTATGAGGCCATAAATACTGACTAAACATTCACTGAAAAAAATAAAAAAACGTAAACTTCATAGATTTCAACTAGTTTCCAAAGCAACATTTTACTGGAAAAAAAATAAAAATAAAAAATAAATAAAAAATGTACACTTCCAAAACTACATTCTCTTTTTTCCATTTAGTCTTTATTCATTAAATACAAAATTAACTCAAGTTAAATAAAGCAAAACTAAAAATTAAAACCACAAAAAAATAATTAAACAGTAACTTAAATAAAAAATATATATATATATAGTTGCCAAAATTTTTTGTTTGGTTATAAATTGAAGAACTAAGATAATTAAAACTAAAAACTAAAACTTAATAAAAACTATATGAACATATCTAAAAAAAATAACAATGATAATAAAAATGACAAACATTCACAACAAAATTAAAATAACTAAAATTAAAATGAAAAAAAAAAATATTAAAAATAAAATCTAACTCAAAATATTAACACAAACTATAAACGTAGATCGGTGATACTAAAATAACATTAAATAACTAATGCCCTTTCCTTTCTCTGGAAACTCTTGATTTCCAATATTTTACTTGGGAAATAATAATAGAGGACTAACAATGTAGATCCTCCACACTTATTGCCATTTTATGAACTGGTTTCCTTCATCAGAAGTTTTCTAGCTGCCACCAAACGGCCCATTAACAGGAATCGCAAACAATTTATTTTGTGTTCTTGTGAGTCGGTGATCCAGACTCTGTGGGGAGGCAGTGGGGGGGTTGGTTTTTCATTTCTTTTCACGAAAAAAAAGCAAATATAATGAGCAGAACTGTGGCTCTGTCAAAGGAGGCAGTAAAGTGCTAATGACATTTCAATAAAGCTGAATCAAATCGACTCTGCGGTTAGATTTTTTTCCTTCCTTTTTCTCGTTACTCTCTCGAAACCTCCGTGCCTCTCAGTAAATGCTGCTGAGAGGAACAAAGCATTATAGGTATTATGTATGCATTACGCGATCTACCGAATCCCATCTAATCAAAGCTCAAATTATTTCACTTCATTGCTCTTTTCCTCTAATATAACGCCTGAAAAAGGGCTTCGATCAGCTGGAGATGGTGTCTGCTCGCTCTCTATGATGTGCTAATGAAGAGTGTTTTAGTGAACTCTAAAGAGACCTGAGCCCCAGTACGACCCATCAGGCCATGTTCAACTGCAGATTGCACAAGATTTGCTTTGTTATTCGGTCGCTTTGGCTTTTTAAAGGCTTTAGCAAGTAGCTGATCTCCCAAACGAGCTCCACTCCGATCACTCGCGCGCTCTTTTGCATTAAGGGCCGATATATGCCCACTTAAACTGATTTCCAGCAGCATTTTTTTAAACCTTTTATAAGGGCAAAGGTTTTCTAACCTTGCGTGTTCAGTATGCGTCATCTTTAATATCGAATTCTTCAATGTAATCAATAAATTAGACGATTAAACCCTAAAGGTGGCTACCAATCAAATTAAATTGTGATCAGTAAATTCCATCTTCGCACTTCAGAGGTGGCACAGAAGCTGCATATGAAGTGTTATTTAGATAAAAAGTAATGTTAAAAAAACTTTGGGGTTGTTATTTATTTATTTATTTTTGAAAGGAACTGATACTTTTATTCAGCAAGGATGCATTAGGATGCAATTCATCACAGTTTCCACAAAAATATGAAGCAGCACAACTGTTTTCAACATTGATAATAATCAGAAATGTTTCTTGAGCAGCAAATCAGCATATTAGAATGATTTCTGAAGATCATGTGACACTGAAGACTGGAGTAATGATGCTGAAAATACAGCTTTGATCTCAGAAATAAATTATATTTTAACAGATATTCACATAGAAAACAGCTATTTTAAATTGTAATAATATTTCACAATTGTACTATTTTTACTGTATTTTTGATCAAATAAACGCAGTCTTGGTGAGCAGAAAGAGACTTCATTCAGAAACATAAAAAATCCTAAAGACTCCAACTTTTTTTTGATGCAGCTCAGAGATGCCATGAATGCATTTACCCTACAATTACATAAACAAAAAGACACAAATGTTCTTTTAAAAGAACATTTTTAGGATAGAAATTTGAAATGATACTTCTAAATATGAAACGAGGAACTGTCTTAATGAGTGAGTAATTGAATCATTGACTCACCTGATTCGTTTAAAAATAGATTCATTCAAAACAAAACAAAACCGCTGTGCGATGGTTCTGCTGTGGCTTTGTTTGGAGCTGTTTTGACTTGTGAAATAGATCAAAAACAGACAATATTGTGTCTAAATTAAGACACTCGATATTAATGTATCATCATTGAAATGTAGTATAAAATCAATATCACATTTGCAGTCATTGCGAAAAGCTGTACTCTTATGTGTGATATGTTATGAATATTAAAAACAAACTCATACCGTGGCATATTGTTGCAACCGTATCTAAGATTTTGAGTTTTTATTCATTTTGGTGGCATTTTTGCCCCAAGCCTCCGTTCATGTCTGACCTTGCTCTCTTGAACCAATTTATTTAATTCCCTCAAATGTGAGACTTTTTTCAGCTTCTGTTAAGCAGCAAAATACTTCTGAACAAACTGAAACAAATGACCTTTGTCATAATGATCATAATGACAGCTAACTAACGGGAGAGAGAGAGAGACAGAGAGAGAGAGAGAGCGCGAAAGATAGATTTTGGCTAATTTAGCTAATATAATTCCATAGATTTTCTCCCAAAAATGATTGAAATATACAATGCTTAAAACGTTTGTAAATTCAAGCAAATCGATTAGTTGGATGCTATTGATTAATTCTGTATTAAGGATGATAACTATGCATACGATGTAGTTTTAAAAATCATTGTAAACTCAAACGAAAGTTACAATTTATTTAATAACCTGCTGTTCTATTATTTATAGTCCACTTTAGACATTTTACTAACTGTAGGGCCCTATGATTTCCGCAATGTGGGAAATGGCGACGAAATAGCAGAATCCAGGCATAAAATTGTAATTTACCGTTTTCAGGGGAGCCCATGTCTTATTAAGGGGAGCCGAGCTCCCCCGTAGTTCGCACCCTGCGTATAACGCAAAATGTCATGAAATTTATCAAATTTTGGATGAATACATTTTGGGGGGGGGGGAGTTTTGAAAGTGATTCCAACGATATCATTCCTCTGTGCTGTTATCATTGCAATTGTGGTGTGGACTGAAAATGAAAGGGTTTGTTAAATTTTCATTTTTTGATTAAAATATAAATTTAATTAATGTTTTATGCCTTCATCTGATTACCAGAAAAAAAATAAATAAATACACAACACAGAATTTCTGGGGACAGTTTTTTAATTTATTTTTTTATTTTGGAAATGGCCCTAGTATTGTTAAAAAAGAAGAAGAAGGAATAAACAGATTTTGTAAATAATTAAATAAATAATTAATTAATTAAATAAATAAATAAATAGACAGACAGACAGACAGATAGATAGATAGATACCCAGTTTTCTAATGCTAATGGATGGATAAATTATTTTAGACATTAACTCCATTTTACCAACAATAGATGGATGAATGGATAGATAGATAGATAGATAGATAGATAGATAGACAGATTGATTGATTGATTGATTAATTAATAGAGCCCTAAAAATGTAATTTTGGTTAAACGTTTAATACATGGTTGTTAAATTGTGAAAGTTTCATGATTTTAATTCATTAGATAAGCTTTTTGATTACTAACAACATTAAAACAGAGTCCAGAATTTTTTTTATGAAAACAATGGAATCCAGAAAAATAATAATAATAATAAGGGAATCAGGAAAAACTGAAACCGGTTTCACAGGGCCCTATAACTATAAATAACTTTGCAACTAAGTCAACTAATTCTGATTAGAGTATTAGTCGACTGGTGGTTTATGGTCTTACCAAGTATCATTGAGATTTCTTTCAAGAATATTTTTTTTTTTGCAGCTGATGAATGATAAAAACATTGACAGCCAATCAGAATCCTGTTTTAAAGAGCTTGAGCATTTAAAGTAGCAGACAACAAAACCACAGCACAAGCTTATAATAAACAGAACAATATTGTGCGTTGATGTGGACTTTAATATAGTTATCATTACAGTCATCATACTTGGTCTGAATGGGCTTTTACCCTTGTGAAACAAAAGTACGCTTAAGCGTTATTACAGAAATAATAGACTTTTAAAGAATGTACTTCTGTGAACTGAATGTAATGTTTTCAGACACTCAATGTGCATGTTAATTGCAATTAAATGACAATGTTTTTTAGTTTACATTTAGATTAAATGAGTTTAGCTGAACTTTAGAGTGTTTTTGACCCACTTAAGTAGGACTAAAGTGCATCTTTATATGTCATTTCATACTTCTGTTGTCTTATGGTAAAATGGCTCATCCAATTTTATTGTTATCATTCTTCTTGCAATGTCATGATCAGTAAAAAATAGATCCGCTGGTTAAAATCTGCCAATTCCCCCTCCACCAGCATTTATGCCTGAATTATTTTTCTCCAAGCCCTTTATTGAAATGCACACACACATAAGAAAATGACACACACACAGAATCTCTGCCTGCAGGCTCGATTAGAGCTGGGAATGTTATTTCCTGATTGTGTGTGTTAGATTTGCTCACGGGAGAAAGATATCGGCAAATCCACACGGAATCTGCAGATTTCCACAGAATACCAACAGCAAGCCGCCGGAGTGTCTGTTTGTTACAGATTTGGGCTAATTTGATAATGCTTTAGCCACCAGTGCGAGTGCTTTACTCTCGGCTCCTCAGTTTAAATCCATTCCTTAAAATTCAGTTTAATTTTATTTTATTAAATTTTATTTATTTATTATTATTTTATTTATTTTATTTTATTTTTTATTTTTTTATATATTTTATTTATTAATTAATTTATATATTATTTATTATTATGATTATTATATTATCATTATTATTATTATTATTATTATTATTATTATTACTATTATTATTATTATTATTATTATTTTATT